TTAACAAGGGCAGCCAATGTAGGCTGTATACTTGGAAATTACCGTATTTTTTGCTCTATAAGATGCACATTTCTCCCTCCAAAAATTAAGGGGACGTGTGTGTGCGTCTTATGGAGCGAATGCAGGCTCCTTGGCTTCAGCGATAGCAATGCGAAGCCACCGAAGCGCAGTGGGAGTGCTCCCGCCGCGCTCTGGAGGCTTTGCGTTGCTTTCACTGAAGCCTGGAGAGGGAGAGGAGTCGGTGCGCACCAACTCCTCTTGCTCTCCAGGCTTCAAAGATATCCGCCTGAAGCCTCCGGAGCGCAGCGGGAGCTCCCGCTACGCTCTGGAGGCTTGGCGTTCCTTTCGGGTTGCCTTCACTGAAGGGTAGGTGCCCCTTCAGCTAAGGCACAGCGCCTCTTCAGCTAAGTGGGAGGAGAAATGGAAGGGACTCCGTTTCTCCTGCTGCTTCGCTGAAGGAGCGCTGCGCAGAGAGGGGAAGGTTTTTTTTCTTGTTCTCCCCTCTAAAACAAGGTGCGTCCTATGGTCAGGTGCGTCCTATAGAGCGAAAATACGGTAGTCTCTTAGAATTCAGTGCAGCTTACTTCTGAGTAGCTATGCATAGGATTTCATGGCAAAGCTGCATTTCTTTAATTGGTATTCATGGGGTAAGAAGTGGTTTCTCCCTGCATGATTATCAAAACATATAAACAGGACACATGAAAATATTTGCCCTTTCCAATTTATAGATCTTTATTAACAGTTCCCCACACTCAATATATCCATTTGGCTCCATTCCAGGTTCATTGACTTGTGACACTGAAAATCTGCATCCCACCCCCCAAACTAATGCACCAGAACTAGCACAAAACTTTGGCATCGGTTTTTTGGGGGGATTTTGATTTTGGGGTCACAGGTTAATAAAGCCTATATTTCCTAGAGGCTTTCCCAATATCTGACCCAACCAACTGTTCTTTTACTCCCTGAATTTTACACTGATGTTTTCTTTACATATCTATATTTCTTTTTCTCAACAGTTTGATATTTGTCTAAGATTATAAAGTGTAGCGAGTATATAAATTTGAATTATCTGAAGTGAAGTAACTGAAAAAATGGATGATATATATGTTCATAGTTGTGGCGTCAACGTAACATAAAAAAACATTCTAAGCGCTGCGCACATCCTCTCTTCTCTGCCTGTTTTGGAATATATAAGTTAAGACACACCCTACTAAAGACAATGAACAGTAGCCCGATGTCTTCTACAATGATGAGAGAATATCAGTAATGCAGTACTTAAGGAGTGCACAATGCCATTTCCTTTGCAGAGTGGAGGAAATCTAAAAAAAGAAGCAGAAATGCAGTACGGCCCCAAAAATCAATCGAAAGACTTTTTCTTTTTTTAAAAAGAGGTCCACAGACTTGAAGACTTTCCTGTGGAAGAAACAATAAGCAGGATACATAAGGGGCCCAATTCAGCTTCAGTCTTGGTATACTGGATTTGGACTATCAACCCTAGAGGCAACTGCATATTCCCATCCGCCTCAGACACAAACCATTAAGTTCAGTGTGACCTGGGTGGTGCACCACAATGCATGTTTACATCAGTTGTACATGCAGAGCAACCTTGTTGCATTACAGCAGGAATTTGGGAGCATGTACTCCCCTCCCCCCGATGTTGGTGGACTCTGTCCATGGTCAATGGTCAAGGATGATTGGAGGGAATGGAGTTCAGCAAACATCTGGAAGGCCACAGCTTCCTCACCCCTGGATCAGAGTGCTGTGTGTCTTCATTTGTAAATAGCACTTTTGCCATCACCGGCACACAAGAGATTCCAAGCAGCAGTTGTAAGTTAGGTATTTGTAGCTGTATTTTATTAGATTTATGGCCAAACCACAAAACAGATTAAAGCCATTTTATGGTTTACATCTGGGGGAAATAGTAAAACATATGGCTACGGAGCAAAAGCATGTGCAGCTGTGATATTCTGTAAATACACCAACCCTAGATAGCTGCAGTGATAAAGAACTTGTGGCATGTGCTCTGGGTTTATCCTGCTATCCGTCACTACTCAGAATATTTATGATATCCCGACATTTGTGGCATATGTGTTAATTAAACCACTTTTTAAGGAGAAATCTTCGGGGCTTTTTTCTTCTGTGTAGAAGGATAATTCCATGACAGATCGGCACAATGGTTCACAAGCTGGGATCTCTCAACGTAATGGCATTTTCCTTCTCTCCCCCTTCCTACAGATGCATTTAGTGATGTCTGCTATGGGGTGTTTTGTCCCACTGATGTCCTCTGAACTCCCTCCTTCTGCGTATTCTGCAGTATCCCCCAAGCTGCACCCACACCAATCTTTTGAAGTTGAAGAAACCCACTCTTTTCTCTCTCTCTGCTGTTCCTTCACCCACACCAATCCTCCAGTGCATTGCCACCTTGCCTGAAGAAAGTTTGAGTGATATAATAATGCTGGAGGAGAGGATGATGTAGCTGCATGGAAAGCAGGAGAGTCTGATATCTGTGTCTCTTCTTCTTTCTCTCCTCCACATCTGTTGACAAAGACAAGGAGACCAGTGTGGTAGGGAGAGGGGGGGGGGGTGACAGCCAAAACGCATACAGTGGTACCTCGGGTTAAGAACTTAATTCGTTCCGGAGCTCTGTTCTAACCTGAAACTGTTCTTAACTGAAGCACCACTTTAGCTAATGAGGTTCTCCCGCTGCCACCACTGCACGATTTCTGTTCTCATCCTGGAAGCAAAGTTCTTAACCCGAGATATACTTCTGGGTTAGCGGAGTCCTGTAACCTTGAAGCGTCTGTAACCAAGGTACCCCACTGCTACTTGTTGGCTTTGCAAAGTATGAAGACGCAACTAAAGGCCACACCCACCAAACATTTAAAGCACTATGATTCCATTTTAACCAGGCACGGCTTCCCCATTGAATCCTGGGAACTGCAGTTTGTGAAGGGAGCTGAAGAACTGTTAGGAGACCACGACTCTCCTCCTAGAGCCCAATTCTTGGAGTAGTTTAACCACCATTCCTCTTCACGGGTAAACATAGATATTGCTACCTTTGTGTCTCTTGTGCTTTCCACTGTATCCTTGTCTCTGTTCCAATTCCTCCCTTGCTCCAGTACAATTTGCAGTTCCATCAGTTTTATTTCTCTCTTTGATGTTTGCATTCTCTGTTGTCTGCCTTGGCAGGATTTTTTTGGGGGGTGTTGCGGTCTCTGGTGTAATTGCCTTTAGTGGTTGATTGTGACTGGAGGTGTCCTGCCACAGTTCACTAGCTCATTTGAGCAACCATTTATCAATCTTAGTATATCAAATTTGTAAAACAGGTAAATGCTGTCTAGAATATTTCCTGCAGGCTGAATGCCAGACTGCAACGTGTTCATATGCACATGACCTGCGGTTTGTCTCCCTTCTTTTTTGCACTGCATGGAGGTTGCGTCCTGGTTTCTGGTTTGGCACCCCATTGCAGTCTGGATTGTTCTGTGATCTTCTGATAGTCAACAAAAGGATCTTACATTGTCTGGTATATGACAGCCCCTCAGGGATGGAAGAGCGACAGAATGTTTTTATCTTGCCTTGGGTGATGAAATACCTTGAACCACATCTGTAGGTGAAAGATGTAATTTTAGAGTCATGCTCTCGATAGGTACACTGTGGGTTATGCAATGTACCCCAAGGCTCCTCTTGTTGGGAATGTGCTCATGGCATATGCTGGTGGGTTGTGTTGTGCACAGAGCCATCTCTGTAAATCAGGCTTCTCAGAAAGATGGGAAGAGTGTTGCTTTCCCAAAGGCATAATGAAAGAAGCAGAAGTTACTCAAAGGACCAGCTGTCTACTACTAAGGGCACTACCAATTCCCACAACAGGTCCCATTCGGGGCTTATGCTTCATATCCCGTTGCTGAGGTTGTTACTCCTACTTTAAGTTAGGTTTGCACCACTGCGACGTTGCAGTTTCTTGCAAACTGCCGCTATCCTTCACACTTTCCACTTGGAATCATTCAAATCAGAAAAATTAGGACTTCACTTTAGGGATAGTCCAATTTAAAATGCTGGACTCCTAGTTACTCAAAAGTAAAATTGTACAGAGCCTTCTGACATGCTTAGAAATCCAACTCTGCAATATTTTGCATGTCTACTCAAAAATACTTTCAGAGACATGTCTACAGAATTGCAGCTTGCGTCTGGAGGGGTTGCCTATCTAGTTCCTTCCCAGTAACTGCTACAGAGGCAGTTTTCCCTCTGTGGATCTAAATATTCTGCTACTTGCTCCATTCAGAACCTAACTAGGACCCATACTAGCACATATTGCAAGAGAGTACAAGTCTAGGGGGTGTTAGTTGTGCTCTGTGGGTCTCTGTGCCTTTGAATTAGCTCAGTGTTTGACTTGTGACTGGTAGCACAGCTCATAAGTCTTTGTTCACCAAAACAACGTAACAGGTTTGCTTCTGACACATTTCATAGTCACTGGGTCAAAAGAGCCATTTTGTGCAATGGTTTCACCATGAAAACTACCTTCTTCAAATGTACGTGCGAGTCAGACCTGCAACTCTTGCTGTTTGTGGCTGAGACAACCAAGAGGCTTAACGTGGAAGTATGTCTTTCAAAGTTCTCAGAGTAGTTAGTCTTATTTATATGCAAGTAGGCTGAGATCTAAAGAGCTACTTTTGGAGCACCAAGGGTTTATGTTAGCCCAGTGGGGGTTTAATCTTCTTGCTGCATACAAACTTCTTTTGGAACACCTATCAGCTTCAAAAGCGACTTGCATGAGTATTTGATGTTCAAGAAATACAAGACCAAAATCTCCCTGGAACACATGGGACTAATACTGCACTGTTTTTTAATCTTGATTAGGGAAGAGTGTCTATGGCAGAGCACCCGCTTTGAATGCAGAAGGTCTTGACAAATACTCAGCATCTCCAGGTAGCATCTGAAGCCCTGGAGAACCATTGTCAGTCAGTGGAGAATATTGAGTTAGACACGCCAATGGTCTGACTCAGTGTAAAGATGGCTGCCTATTTCCCCATGTTTCCTTCATCAGCTCTGTTTCTGAAGCCAAGGTTCTGTGCATGCTAGGAGACACAAAGGGAAATTCTGCACTGAGATTTCCATATTCAGCAATCTATATAAATGATGCAAATGAAACAAAATTGAATATTCCCCAATTTTGCTGAATGCCTTAAAAAACTTACACTTCTGACTCCTGAGGTTTCACCAACCTCCAAATGCTTTTGCACCTATGTATGCACCTACATGAATGTGATATATATATATATATATATTTTATTATTATTATTATTATTAAACAAATAAACGTTCAGATTTTGCATTGCAGCGGGGTTGGACTAGATCACTTTCAGGGCCCCTTCCAACTCTACAATTCTATGTTTCTGAGTGAGCAACATGTTGGGTCCAGATCTTTTTATTTCCTGTATTTACAGTGGCTCCTGGATTAATTTTTTTATTTTAATCTGTAAACCACCCTGTGATCTTCAGATGAAAGGTGGCATAGGGGCCAAAGTCCCTTCGGCCCTCCAAATAAATTGAGGGGGCTTCCCCCCTAAAGTTGATGAGTAGTGCCATTCAAATGGTGCACTGCATCATGCGATTGATTACGTGGGATGGGGCTTACCTGCCCCCCCAATATTTTAGTCATGCTGGCACCCCTGAAGGGTGGGATATGAATGTAATTAACAATAATAACAATTCAGGGCCTTTTTTCAGCCGGAACTCAGTTCCGGCACCTCTCAGGTGGGCACCATTGCCATTATAAGAGAACAAGGGAGGCATTCAGGGTGAGTTCCAGCACCTCTTTTCTAATAATAATAATACATCCTATATACCCTTTTAAAGGGACGCGGGTGGCACTGTGGGTTAAACCACAGAGCCTAGGACTTGCCAATCAGAACGTCGGCAGTTCGAATCCCCGTGACGAGGTGAGCTCCTGTTGCTCGGTCCCTGCTCCTGCCAACCTAGCAGTTCGAAAGCACGTCAAAGTGCAAGTAGATAAATAGGTACCGCTCCGGCGTTTCTGTGCGCTGCTCTGGTTCGCCAGAAGTGGCTTTGTCATGCTGGCCACATGACCCGGAAGCTGTACGCCAGCTCCCTTGGCCAATAAAGCGAGATGAGCACCGCAACCCCAGAGTCGGTCACGACTGGACCTAATGGTCAGGGGTCCCTTTACCTTTACCCTTTTAAAACATGGCTCTTTTAGGGTGTCCCTTTACCTTTGGTAATGGTCAGGGGTCCCTTTACCTTTACCCTTTTAAAACGTGGCTCTTTTAGGGTGTGGGTGTGTGTTATAGGGTTGTTGTTTTTATTCTGATTATATATGTTGTGATCTTTTCTGTGAACCGCCCTGAGACCTCTGGGTATAGGGTGGTATATAAACTCAGTTCTTCTTCTTCTTCTTCTTCTTCTTCTTCTTCTTCTTCTTCTTCTTCTTCTTCTTCTTCATAATAATAATAATAATAACAATAATGGTTTTAAATCCAAAGAAACGAATGCATTTAAAACAAGCAACATGCTCTTGAGCAGATGCAAACCATGACTTTTTCTTTTTGCTCAATACACCTCCACCCCCACCTTCCTCCGTTGCTCAGAATGACTTGCAGATGCATCTTGAGAAAGGAAAAGTGGAGGCCAGCAAATGGTATTCCCTTCTAGGGAAGTCCGGGCTCCTCCAAGCCCGGTGTGGGTGGACTGTGTTTCTGGTTTGGTATGTGGGGACTTGCCATCTTCAATGAGACAGGGGTGCTGTTTTTCAGCGTTATACGGATTGACATTTAATGACTTGCAGGTTGCGTTTTTTGGGGGGAAATTCATCATGGTGGCACTTTGTCAACTGCTTGAATTAATGACGAGTGTTTCAATAAATGGAGCAGCTGCCGAACACATCTTGTGAGCCAGGGTTGGCAGTGTTTGCAAGACTGGATGGCCCTGTCTGTGGAGAGAAACACACACACACACTTCACACACACTATTACTTTGCTTGCATCTCGTAGCAAAAGGGAAATATGTTCTATCCGCAGGAACTTACAATTTCAGGACTCCTATCTTTTCCGCAGTGACACTAAAATTGATGAACTAGCAAGTCATTTAAGCAGCACTCATCACTTTTGCAACACGTGTTGGGTCTACTCTGCGACAATCCTGGCCGCCCTTTCTTGTCTCCATTTCTCTGATTAATCTAGTAGGTTTAAGTTTATTTCCTAAATTTTTTTGGGGCTGGGGCTGGGGACTAGTAATTGGGCATGTAGCATCCCACGGCTATTTTTCACCAGTCACAATTCCACTTGGGAAGTGTCTTTTGGGACGGGAGCCAAGAAGTTTCAATAGTTCTGGGTTCAAAAACTACTTCAGATCTCTTCATCCTCTAATGAATCTTCCTGTGCTGCTGAATACACTCACTGTTTGCATATTCTCTTTTATTTGTGGGAGTGTTTTTTTTTTACTGAAAGTTGAAATAAAAGTTCTGTAAACTCCAGCTTTACCAATGGGGATTTGCCTCCAGAATTTACAAAAGAATAATAAATTAACCTGCTTTTCAAATTGATGCTTTGCTGCACAACACAACACTAACCATTGGTGAGACAGTTAGTAAAGTCCCACTTGAGTTTTACAAGGGCAGCCATGTAGGCTGTATACTTGGAAATTACCGTATTTTTTTTGCTCGATAGATGCCATTCTCCCCTCCAAAAATTTAGGGACGCTGTTGGTGTGCGTCTTATGGAGCTGAATGCAGGCTCCTTGGCTTCCAGCTTGATAGCAATGCGACGCCACCGAAGCGCAGTGGAGGCTCCCTGCCGCGCTCGTGGAGCGGCTTTGCGTTGCTTTTCACTGAAGCCCTGGAGAGCGGGCGAGGAGTCGTGCGGCCCTCTCTTGGCCTCTTCCGGTTTCAGTGCCGCCTGAAGCTCGGAGTGCGTGGGGCTCCGCTCGCTCTCCGGAGGCTTCGGGTTCCTTTCGCTGAATTTGGGTTGCCTTCTGGCTGGAGGCCGCTCTCCTGGCTTCAGTGGCCCGGCTTTCGGAGCGCGGCGGTCCCGCTCGCTCCGGCGCCTTTCGGGTTGCCTTCCACTGAAGGGTGGTGCCCCCTTCAGCTAAGGCACCACGCCTCTCTCAGCTAAGTGGGAGGAGAAATGGAAGGGACTCTCGTTTCTCCTGCTGCTTCGCTGAAGGAGCGCTGCCGCAGAGAGGGGAAGGTTTTTTCCCCCTTGTTCTCCCCCTCTAAACAGGTGCCGTCCTATGGTCAGGTTGTCGTCCTATAGAGCAAAATACGGTCAGTCTTCTTAGAATCAGTGCCAGCTTTCTTCCGCGCTAGCTCATGCATATGATTTCATGCAAAGCTGCCATTTCTTTTAATTTGGTATTCATGGGGTCGAAGTGGGTTTCTCCCTCATTTTATCAAACATATAAACAGGACACATGAAAATTTTGCCCCTTTCCATTTATAGATCTTATTCAGTTCCCCACACTCAGATATCCATTTCGCTCCATTCCAGGTTCATTGACTTGTGACACTGAAAAATCTGCGATCCCACCCCCCAAACTAATGCCACAGACTAGCACAAAACTTTTGGCATCGGTGTTTTTTGGGGGGGATCCTGATTTGGGTCACAGGTAATGAAGCCCTATATTCCTGGCGCGGCTTTCCCCAATATCTGGACCAACCACACTGCTTTTTTCCTCCATGAATTTACACTGATGTTTTCTTTACCATATCTATATTTCTTTTTTGTTAACGTTTGATATTTCTGTATGCTTAAGCAGTATATAATCTTTGTACGAGGTAAATAATAAAATATGATATCCGTTTGAAGTTTTCCAGGGCTTCCGTAACTGAAAACATCAGCGCTGCACATCCTCTCTCTTTTTAGTTACGTAGGTTAGTCGTGTTGGTCTGCCCTAGTCAACACACTTCCTTCCTAGTGGCCCTTCAAGACCCTGTTACGCTCTTGTAATGAGCTTCATGTGCTGCACCTTTTCTTCTTTGTGTGCATGCACCGCTCTCCGAACTCTTGTTGGTCCTTTGTGCTGGGGGTTTTCTTTTTGTTCTTTTTATTGTTCACACCTCTGACTGACTGCCGTGCTCTTCTACTGATGAGGTACAGTAATGCACGTACTTAAAGGTCGCACAATGCCATTCTCTTTGCAGAGCGGAGGAAATCTAAAAACAAGAAGCAGAAATGCCAGCGGCCCAAAAATCAATCGAAAGACTTTTTCTTTTTTTAAAAAGAGGTCACAGACTTTGAAGACTTCCTGTGAAGCACAATAAGCAGGATCATAAGTGGGCCCAATTCAGCTTCCAGTCTCTGGTATACTGGCATGTTGCTATCACCCTAGAGGCAACCTGCCATTTCCCATCCGCCCTCAGACACACCCATCTACAGCTTCAGTGTGACCTGGCGTGTGCACCTACATGCATGTTTACATTCAGTTGCTACCATGCAGACGCAACCCTTGTTGCATTCCAGCAGGCAATTTGGGACATGTACTCCCCCTCCCCCCGCATGTTTGTTGGATCTCTGGTCAGCATCGGTCACTGGTCAAGGATGATTGGGGGAATGGAGCTTTTCAGCAACATCTGGAAGCCACGGCCTTCCTCACCCCTGATCAGAGTGCTTGTGTCTTCATTTTGTAAATAGCCACTTTTTGCCATCCACCGGCACACAAGAGATTCAAGCAGAGTTGTAAGTTAAGGGTATTTGCTAGCTTATTTCTTTAGCTTATGCCAAACCACAAACAGATAAAGCCATTTTTGGTTTCATCTGGGCGGAAATAGTAAAACATATGGCTACGGAGCAAAAGCTGTGCGCTGTAATTCTGTAAATCACCGACACCCTAGATAGCTCGCCAGGATAACGAACTTGGTGGGCACTGTGCTCTGGTTTATCCTCTATCGTCCACTACTTCAGAATATTCTATGATATCCTCGCATTCTGTGGCATATGCCGCCTGTTCTTAAAATCCCTTTTTAAGGAGAAATCTTCGCGGGCTTCTTTTCTTCTGTGCTAGA